TTTCATTACATTGGCACCTAGTGTCGCGGATGGCCATTGTGGTTGCAGTGACTAAAGAAGCTGACATTCCAGTAAGTCAATGAGAGTAGGCATGCAAAGGGGCATGTTTTGAAAGTGTATATGTAGGACCAAAGAGAAGAACCCATTTCGTATATAAGCTTTAGCATGTCCTCTAGCTCCAAGAAAATAATATATAGCCAGGCAGCTCAAGGCCAGAAGCCAGATGTTTTCTTTTACCCTAGCCTAAGAACAAAGACCACAGTCCTGACCAATTAAACTGTAACATCTCATAGTTTGCCAATCGTTAACCAATCCAAAGATTGTAAAGCTGAGAAACCTGAACTGTTTAAAAACTCTATAAAAACCCTGCAGACGAAAAGTTCGAGGCTCTTTCCCTATTCCACTGCTTCGGATAAGGTTAGAGACCTGGTTTGAGCTTGAATAAACAATCCTTATGTATTTACATCAGTACACGGCTCCTGGGTGGTCTTTGGGGACCCCGAATTCTGGGCATAACATATAGAGTCCTTTAACATCTATGCATTCAACTTTAGAGATTAAAGGGTGGCAACAATTTCAATCTACCACCTATCTTGTCAGTTTGTCATGTTGTGGTGGCTTCAGTGTTGCTGTGATGCTGGAAAATATACCACTGGTATTTCAAATACCAGCAGGATTACCCACGGTGGACAGGTGTCAGCAGAACTTCCAAACTGAGATAAGGAGCCTTGGTAGCACTGTAGGATAAGCACAGGACTGCTAACTACAACGTTGATGGTTCAAACCTACTAGTAACTCCATGGGAGAAAGATGAGGCTGTCTACTCATGTAAAGATTTAGTCTCGAAGTCCTATATAGGTTGCTATGAGTCAGAATCAACTCAGTGGCAGTGGATCCAAACTAAGATGAACTAGGAAGAAAAGCCTGTCAATATACTTCCAAAAACTCACCAGTGAAAACCCTAAGAGAATAGTGTATTCTCTAATGCAGTACTGAAGATGAGCTTCTAGGTTGAAAGGCACTCAAAACACAGGAAGTGGCAGCAACGACCATGAGGATGGCAACAGAATCCATCAACATTCCCTTCTGTTGTCAATGCTGTTGTTGTTAAGGACTATCAAGTCGGTTCTCAGTGGTAGTGACCCGGTATGACCCTCCAAGGGGTGACTGGTGGGTTTGAAACATCAACCTTTCAGTGAGCAGTTCAGTGCTTGAAAGTGTATACATTCATTTAACATCTACACATTCAATTTTAGAGATTACAGGGTGGCAACAATTTCAATCTACCGGGATACAGCCCACACCAGGATTCATAAATGGGGTATTCATTAATCAAGCTGTCTCTATGGCAACACAATTTACATAAAGCAGGTGAGCCTCTGCTCCTCTGTCGTTGTATCCCTCCTTGCTCTGCAACTTTAGAAGCTGACCGGCCCTAGAGTAAGAAACTCCCATTCATCTCTTAGTTCCTCAAAGCTAAGTCCTGACTTCCCCACAGCACAGCCTCAGTCTGGTCCAGAGCCCGGGCAATGCTGGGACCACAGGGGGAATTGACTCTAGCCCCTTCTCTTATGAATGATTCATAATGAGATGGGGGTGTGGAACAAGGGTACTGGGGAGAAGGGTCAGGAAGAGCCCTCACCCCACCCCCATTTTTGAACTGCGTCTTGGAGGAGAGGTAGCCATGTGTCAGGTGAGGAAGAAAGCTAGATTAGGAATAGCAGAAGTAGGATGTCTGGAGAAGTTAGCAAGGGTTGGATATAAAGGGTCCTAGATTTGAGAGCCAGGGTTTGGAGTGTGGTCAACCTTTGATTTTGGAACTCTCTCTCTGGCTAGAGGCTGAAGTGTCTTGGGGCAGGAAGCACAGAGAGGAGGGTGGAGTTGGTAGGGAATGCTGTGAGAGGGTGTTTGGCAGCTAACCTCTTTCTTACTTCTTTGCCTGGTGAGCTCCTACTGGCCCTTAAGAGTCCATTCTTAAAGTCACCTCCTCTAAGAAGCCTTCTGTGACCTCACCTCAGGTGGAGTTCTGGCACCTTCCTTGGTCTCCTGCTTATGTGTTTATATATTTATAGCACCTCACGTGAAGCTTTGTGATTCTTAGGCTGTTTGTCAGGCTTCCTGACTAATGTATAAACTCCTTGAACACAAGAGTCTTGTCTGATTCATTTGGTGCCCAAGTGGGACTCGAGTCACTCCCTGGATGGCTGTGTTATTCTTTCCTTCCTTCCTTCCTTAGCTCATTTCTCAAATATTTACGAGGTACCCACTGTGTTCCAGGCCTGGGTTATGTCCCAGGAATGTGATAGGGAGTGAGATGGGTAACATCTCTGTTCAAGGTGGGGGTGGGGGTGGAAGATTTAGTGGGAGAGCCAGATTCAACAACAGAACGAAGAGAACTGGCATCAGCAGGGTGGGTACTGGGCAGAGTACAAACACTGATGTTGAACAATGACTGGAAGCCTTCAGAGAGACCTGAGGGAAGCATGGGGGAAAGAGGACAGTATGTAAATGCCCTGAGTCAGCACCTGTATTGGTATGTTCATCACACAAAGCAGAGTGGGCTTGGGAGAATGAAGGTTCAAGTGTTGGGCGGGGGCCTGAATAAAGAAAATCTTCTCAATTAGGCTTGGGTATTCATTCAACAGACGGGTAGATCTTGAGGCGAAATGACTAGCTCAAGTGGCCCATGTAAAATAGAGTTCTCTGGACCTCTTTCTTCACTGAGCACCCAGAGTAGAATGGCCTGTAGGAGGTCACTCATAGGGTGTCCATGGACAGCTGTGTGTGCCAGACCCTGGGCTAGCACCTGCAAACACAATCTCATAGAATATGTTCAAGGAAGCTTCACTGTCCCTTTGGGACAGGTGAGTAAACTGCGGTATGTAGCTGTTCAGCAACTAGTCCGAAGTCCAAAGTTGGAATTAAACTTGTGCCTGAGTCCTAAAGCTCAAGATTTTCTATCCCACTGCGTGGAAAGGGTGAACCAGAGGTGCAGGAAGAGAACAGTGATAATTATAAGGCTGTTTCACACACCCCTTATCACATCTGGCCCTGCCTACCACTGTGTGGGTGAGGCCCTGTAGGGTCACCCCTGGTTTACAGAAGGGCAAGCACAGGTCAGCCCCCTGCTCCAAGTATTTCTAGTAGTCCTGTCTGCTGAACTCACATGAGGTCTCCCAAGTCCACACCCATGCATGCCCAGGGCAGGGATTGACTCCTTGACCTCTGTAGGCCCTTATTGTGTGTCTTTCCACCTGGAGCCCGAGTTACTTGATTCCAGCTGAAGATTGGTTGGTGGGTATGTGAAATTCCCTGAGGCTCCAAGTGGGTATAGAAGGGAGAAGGCTCTAACCAGCCATTATACAGATTGCGCTGGAGAATAATCACTGGATTGAGAGCTGTAAGGTTGGTGGTTCGAACTCACCAGTCACTCGCAGAAACACTATGCGGGTCGCTACCAGTCAGAACTGACTCAGTGGCACTTAAGAACATACAGCTGAACAGATTGGGCCTCAAGAGGGCTGGGGTGAGTGACTAGGTCAAGGGGGATGTGGATGAGTTTGGTCATGACCACATTAAAAAATCAAATCCACTGCTATCTACTCGATTCTGACTCAGAGATTGTCATAGTAAGACAGAATAGTAGGGGCACTGTGGATCAGCACTGGACTGAGAACCACAAGGTCAGCAGTTCAGACCTACCAGCTGCTCCTTGGACACCCTATACAGGCTCACCATGAGTTGGAAATGACTCCATGGCATTGAACAACACTTATGGAAGCAGACTATCACATCTTACTCCTGAGGGCCAGCTGGTGAGTTCAAAGCATCAACAAGGCCAATGCTTTCAGCACTTTAACCACCGTGCCCCCAGGGCTCCTGAAAGCAGTAAAACGAATTGAAATGCCACTGAACTCCCTGATATTAACCACCCCCAGCTCCTTAAGTGTGCATGGATGTGTGCAAACCTTCGCAATCACTCAACAAACATGTTCAGATGGTACATGCTGCTAGTGTCTTTGTTTTACAGAGAGAGACACTGAGGCTTAGGATTGTTAACCAAGTCGCCCCAGGGAATTCTCTGCTGGAAAGGTGCAGTCGGGACGTGAATCCAAATTTCACCCGGGACGCACTTTAGCAGTTCACACTACCCTGTCTCCCGCCGCACAGGGCCCCACTCAGGGTGGCCTGCTGAACTCATAGGTTTCGGGGTTTTTCCCGACAACACACCCAGGTCGCGCCCCTCGAGTGGGTAGGTTGGAGGTGGGGTATAGAGAGGGGGCATGGGACACCGCCTAAAGTTGGACAGTTTCCGGGGGAAGTGGGCGGGGCTTACTTCGTGACAGGTAGTGGGAAGGGCGGGGCTTTGGACGGAAGGGAGCGGAGCGGTGTTTCCTGGATGGCGGGAGGGCTTGAAAGACAGTGGGCGGGGCCCAATTCTGGGCGAATAGAGGTCTAGGTCTCCTGCTTAACTGGCGTCTGACCGGAGCAGGACACGCCTTGAAGACTCGTGGCGCGCGTGGAGGATCTAATGTCGGACAGTCTAGGGCAAGGTTCACAGGTTCCCGGTGGACGTAGTGGGGGATTGAGTCTTGACAGACAGTGGGAGTGGCCCGGCTGTAGACGGAAGCGGATGGAGCCTGTCTGGAATGAGTTTCCAGGAGGCGGGCGGGCTTGACAGACAGTGGGCGGGCTCTAATGCTGAGCAAGCGGAGGGCGGGGCCTTGTGCTTGACGGGCAGGGCGAACCTACTATTTGATAGGCCTCGGGACGCGTTCTGGAGACGGGCGGCCAATGGGAACGAGGGGCGGAGCCTGTGTCCTGGTTCTCTGGCTCCCGCGCAGCCTGTGGCGGACGCGTCCTTTTACTGCTGCCTCGCAGCTCAGTCGCGCCTGGGCACCCCCCCCCGCCCGCCGGCAGCCATGAGTCCGCGCGGCCCTGGCCGAGCCCCCTGCCCTCTGGAGTAGGCGCCACCTCCGCGCCGCCGGACCGCCAGTACCATGGAGTCTCCTGCCCCGAGCCAGCCTGGAAGCGCGCCCCAGTCCAAAGGTAGGATACCGCCAGGATTCGCGGTCGAACCCCAGCCGGCAGACCGGATTCGGGAATGCCCTACAACTCCAGCCTCCGTGGGGACCCGCCTGTCTGGACCTTGGCAGTGTCCCAGATCCTCCACCCAGTGCGTTACTGGATCCGATCCATTCTGACCCCCGTGTATGGACCTTGGGACTGTCTACAGGCCCTGGAGTTACTCGTGTTGACGGAGGCTGGGACCGCACTCTGAACCTCATCTTAGATCAGAATTCGAGAGCCCTCTCTGATCATCATTGTAGGTCTACGTGCTGTATTCTGGCCAGGAACTTCCCAGGCCGGGATCCTCAGGGAGGCCCAGGTGGGGCTCACTGTGCGCCCACCGGATTTCTGGGCTGTGCTGGGGTGAGATTTAACTTGGATCACCTACATCTGGACCTCAGAGAAGTCCCCTGTTGGGACGTCTCTGTGTCGCCCCTCCCCCCGGCGGGTGCTCTGGCCACATCCTAGCGCAACGCCCTCGCACCCCACTCTCCACACCCTACCCTGCAGCATTGATCCCTTTGTTAGTCTGTGACTGCCCACAGGTCCTGGCCCTCTCTGGCATGCAGCCCTTCCTCTCTCTGCCCCTTTTTATCCCTGTGTGTCCATGGCCTAGAGTTTGGCCTTCCTGCCAGGCGCCTGTTCTACCTGGCGTTTCGTGGGTGTTGGGCCAGCTGCCACACCAGGATGCATATACTTCGAAAGGGGCTTGCTGTGTTGTTTCCAAGTTGCAGTCCTTCCTGGAAATTTTTGAGAGGTGATAGGCTAGCCACAGCATTGGCATCAGGATTTGTCATGCAGAGTGGGGAGGGTGGGGCTGGAGGGCAAAAGGGAATTTTTTTTTTTTTAACTTGGAAGAGGAAAGGACGTTTTGGGCATGTTAGAATCTCAGCAGGCTGGACTGTGTGAGGAATTTCCAAACCGGACATAATTGTGATGAGTGGGCTGCCTCACGCCAGCGGGCCTTCAGTCAAAACAGGAGGACTGTCACCTCCCTTCCATGGACGTGGGGCATCAGGAGTGTGACGAGAGATGATATATATTACAGTTGTGTAAAGCGGAGGGACCAGTCGCTAGAGAAGGATATCATGTTTGGTAGGGTGGAGGGTCAGAGGAAAACCCCCAACAAGATGGATTGGCCAGGTGGCAACTGGCCAGATGGACTCAGGTATGGCAGCAATAGTGAAGTGGGCCCAGGTCGTTGTGCTGTACATAGGGTCACTATATGACACCTAACAACAACAACAACAGAAGTGGAGAATGTTGTGAAGAGCTTCATGCAATCTCTAGCCCATAGGAAGTGTACAGGAAGGGCTTGTGTGTGTTTTGATTGCTGCAGTTTTTACTTTTGGAGAGGCCTCAGTCATGCCGGGACAAAGATGTGCCTGTTTGAGTTGCAACTGTGGCATTCAAGCAGGTCACATAAGTACTTCAAAACTCAGTCATCCCATCGAGTCCGACTCACGGTGACCGGACAGGATACAGCAGAAGTGCTCCCGAGGGTTTCTGAGGCTGTGAGTCTGTGCAGAAGCGGACATCCTTTTACTGCTCAAGAGCACTTCGTGGCTCGCTCATTAGAACCGCAGGGAAACTGTTGGGGGTCCTGGGGTAGGTGGCCCTGTCTGGCCCTGATGCTGGTGGCTTCAGTGGCAGTGGTCCAGAGCCTGACTGGGTGGGCAAGGTAATTATATCTTACATAAGTGGGAGGCTGGATCCCTGACCATTGCCCAACTGCTGTGAGTAACTTGGGAGGCACTCACTGGGGGAGGGGCATACTCTGCACAGACCTCGTGGAGCTTGGAAGCTGGTCAACAAGACACTCCCCACTTTGGAGCGTGGTCTGGGCTAGCTCTGTCAGGGCGCTCCTAGGATCTGCCAGCAGTCCTTCGACACCCTGTGTTCTCCTGGATGAGAGGAAGGTGCTAGGAGCAGTATATGTCGGGAGATGTTTTCACCTGTTCCAGGGAGGAGATCTTCAACTTCCAGGGCTGTGAAGGGAAATGGGCTGTGGGTAAGTGGGCAAACGCTGGTGGGGACCCTGCTGGGCCCTGGTGCTTTGTGATTTGAGGCCCGGAGTTTCTGCAGAGAGAAGGTTAGGGAAAATTTGCAGCTTTCTGCAAATCTGTGGATCCAGGGTAGGTTGGTCAGCAAGTCAGGGCCTCTTTCCTGTCAACCTCTTTGGGCTTGGGACAGGATGTGCCCTTCATCAAAAATTATAAGAGTGATCACATACTGAACTCTTCCAGGTGCCATGGGCCCTGTCATTTATGCGTCTCAGCCTTGCAGCCCCATTTTACAGGTAAGGATACTGAGGTTCAGAAGCATTCTTACCTGAGGTCCTGGAGCCAGGAGGGTTGGAACCAGGAATCTAGTCAGGTCTGTGTGCCTCTTGCCTGGTCTTCCCCGTTTATCCTCCCCACACGGCATTCCTGTGTTTGGGTCCTGTGCCGGGGGCATCTCCTCTTGGCCAGTCTGGCACCAGTTGGAGAGTGAGGCCAAGACTGCTTTTACATGCATGCGCAGCCCATTTCAATTGGCACATGGCATCTGCCCTGCAGTCTGATTCATTTAACAGATGACAAAACTGAGGTCCGCTGTGGAGGTGCTGAACTGAATCCAGAGCGCTGGGGTCCTGACCCAGTGCCCTTCATATCCTAGCACTGAGTCCTCAGTATGCTTGGAGATGCTGATGGAATAAAGAAAGGAGGGATTGGCACTTGACCTTGAAGAAGCTTTGTCGTTGAGTTCCCTGTCTTGCTGTGGGTTCCCACCTCACCGTCTCTGACACTGAAATTCTCTCCACTCCCTGCAGGTGGAGGGTTTTACATCCATGCAGAAGGCTCCTGTTAGTCTGTGCTTCCTCGCCCACACACCGCTGTCTTTTGGGCCACTGGCTATGGGGGCATTGGCAGGGGCACGTTTGTAGCATGGTCTAGTCTGCTGTCCCTGTGTTATGTTCGGACACCCAAGTGTACTGTCTGGGCCTGTACATTCTGCTCCCTGAGTGCGGCCACCGGTGGGCCCTTCTCTGTTTATCCTACAAAGGGTCTGGTGGGGCAGGATTGCCCTAGCTTCTCAGTAGGGATTCCAGACTGAGGAAAGCACCCTGACGGCTGTGGCTACTGGCTGCTGTCCCCATGTTTGGGAGGGTGCACTGTGGGGATTTTCCCCACCCCTGGCATGACGCACAGGAAACTCTATCAGGCAGCTTGAGCTTGGGGCTGAAGGGAGCAAAGTTCTCAGCAGCCTGTGTGGTGGGGGAGAGGCTGGGGCAGTGGGAAGCTTCCGGTGGGTGAGTCAGCACCCAGTGCCCAATGACTCACCCCCTGAACATGCCAACTGGCCGCCTGTTACTGAAGGGCCCTGTGGTAGAGGGGCTTTGTGCCTGCCCTAGCAGGCTGGCACCTGGCTCAGAGGTGGCCCCATCTAGGACTTCGGCTGGACTAGGACCCCTGGGCTGGCCCTTCCAGCCATGCTGGCCCCACCCAAGGACTTCCTTTATTAGGCAAAGGGCTCTGCTTCCGCTTGCTCACTGTGTAGGTGGCAGTGACTGTTGACTCCCTTGGCCCAGGTGATTTCTTGGGTTTTCTACAGCTGCTGGGAGGTCATGGAGGAAAGTAGAGGGGGTCTGGGGATTGGGCTGGGCTGGACACTGGGACAGTGATGGTGAGAGGCTAGGAGCTTGGACCTATCCCAAATCCCAGCTGTGTGAAGTTGGATACATAAAGTCAAGGGCAGTCTTGCATGCTGTGAATGATTTATGTCCTCTGGGCATGGCCCAGCTTATAGATAAAAATCATCAGTTTCCTCACCTACAAAATGGGGTCACAAGGATTGTCACAGAACCTTTATCCTACTTCCTAAGTGGCAGGCACAGCAGCCACAAGGATTGCTCTAGAACCTTTATTCCACTTCCGGAGGGGCAGGAGCCAGGCACTGCAAGTTTATCCCTGGCCCAGGGAGCACAGTGGTTGACACAGTGGAGCAAGAGCCTGGGCTTCGGATTAGGTGGACCACTGTTTGAATCTTGCCATGCTGCACTGCTTTCTTGCTTGGGGGAATTGGATCCTCGCTCTGACCCTCAGTCGCCTTGTCTATGAAGTGGGGTCAAACATGCCTGCCTGTCAGGGTGGTGTTGAGGACTGTAGATAATATTTGTCAAGTTGATGGCATCTGTTGCTGTCTTCGTATTGTTATGGAGTGCTGCTGATATTCATTTGGGGATGTAGGCACTAGCCCTCCCTGTAAGTTGTTAAAATGCCGTCAGTTCCAACACATAGCGATCTTATATAGGGTCTCCAAGAAGCAGCTGGTGTGTTTGATCTGCTGACTTAGTTCAGTTAGTAGTTCAGTTCTTATTCTATAGTGCCACAAAGGATTCTTTAATGCCAGCCAGAATTTACCAGTCTCAGGGGCCTCTTCCTCATGGGTCCCCACTCGCAGCTTGAAGCTCCCCACTGCCTCTGAGCCTTCTTGGAGGTCCTGTAGGGAATTGGCCCCACCCCTCCTTGCTGGCAGCCCATCACCCAGCCCGGGGAGAACTTTCTAAGCCATCAGTGCCAGGCTTGGGGCTGGCTGTGGACATAGTGGGGCCCGACCTGGAGCAGAATGAGGTAGGGCAGTAACTATAGAAGATTTCAAGCTGGCTGAACAGGAAGCCATCCTGGTATGAGCCCCCTCCCAGTGGATGTTGGGGTTGGGCAGGCCTGCTGGAGCTCAATACCCGCCCTGAAGCCTGTAGTCTCCAGGACCCAGCCGTTTCTTGCAGTACCCTAGCAGTACTTCTTGTAGAGGGCCTCAAGGCCAGTCGGTCAAAGCTGAGCAGCAGCAGCGTCAGGGCACTCCTTCATGCTCTGTACCCTAGTCCTGGAGTCCTGGTGTGGCGCTGTAGGATCTGCACTGGACTGCTAACTGCAAGGTCGACGGTTCAAACCCACCAAGCCATTCCTCAGAAACCCTATACAGGGTCTTTATGAGTT